AAAAAAAAAAAAAAAAAAAAAAAAAAAAAAATAAGGCTATCATTCACCAAACATTGGTTTCTAAATTTTATGTAATGATTGAACACTTCGTGACAATGTTAGTCATTTTCATCCTATTCTTTTCATTTCCTTTATGCTTCTTATTTTTTTTTCTTTTTTATTGTTAATAAATTAAATTAATTAGGTTTTTTTCTGGATGGAGGGGAAAGAGAGGGGGGAGGGAAGAAGGGAGAAGAAAGGAGAATAAGGAATTAATTTATTGTAGTTAAGCATAGAAAAACTAAAAGTAATGTGTCTTTTTGGAAAGGAGAACAGATGGCACCAAATGAACTTACAGAAACTTTCAAAGTTAATTCTGCTTGGTTTTTTTCTTTTGTTACTTACAACGTTTATTTTTAAAATAATATTTTTAAAGCTAAAATTTTATTTGAAAGAAAGAAAAAATGAAACAGTTGAGCAAATTTTTTTATACGATAACAATTTAAAACTTTTTTCTTCTAATTTTTTGTTCTTTAAATCTAAAACTTTTTTTTTTTTGCGTACATACAATTTTTTTTTTCTTTCTATACCAAACTTTTTTCTCTGTCTCACTTTCTATGTGCTTATCTAAAGTCAAAAAAAAAGTTTAAGTTTAGAACAATAGGTCTTTTTTTTTTGTTTGTTTGAAAACAACAATGAAAAAAAGCTGTTATCTTTAGAATAAACTAACTGCTAATAAGCCGACTAAAAGAAGTTTCTTCTTCGTTTTCACTAAATGAATCAAACTGATGTCATCGTAAATGCAAAAAAAAAAAAAGTAAATAAACAAAACAAAACGAAAACTAATAGAAAGCCAAACTAAGAACTGTGACAGTAAAAAGTGAATAGAATAAAAAAACTCGGATAAATTCTGGTGTTCTTTTTAATATATATATATATATATATAAATGTAAGTAATTAAAAAGAGAAAAAATTTTTTGCAAGAAGAATGCTGAAGCTTTCGAAGAAAAGAAATGAAAAAAATGATAAGAATTATAAAATTTTTTTTGATTGTTTTACACTTTTCTCTTTTTCGGTTTTTTTATTTTTCAAAACAGAAAAACTATTTTCCTACTTTTTTTCTTTTTTTACTTCTGCTATTCTGTACAAATATTTTTGCTGACCAAATTTTGATCGAAGAACTATAGTCAACTTGTGAAAATTGCTGCTGCTGCTGCTGCTAAATTATCAGTTATAGTTATAGACGAGAAAAAAGAGTTGTAAATTGTAAAGTCTTTTTTTTTTTCAAATTTATAACTATTCACCTATGCAATGTTATGATAATGTTTTAAAATATTTTAAAAAGAAATTTTTAAAAATGTGTTTATATTTTTTTTGTACTTTTTTTCACATTTTAGTTGCTATTACCATTGTTTTTATTGCTGTAAAAAAAAAAAAAAGATAAAACAAAATTTCTTTTTATATACCGTAAAATATCATTTATTTACAGTTACATTTACAGTTACACTTATATTTTTTTTCAACTGTATAACAAAATAGCTGGCAAAAAATTGTTGTTGTCAGTCGTTACGTTGTTCTATTTGGCTTCCTATTCTAACAGTGTATATTTTGTTTTGCCTTTTTTTTTTTAAAATTTTTTTCTGTTTTTTGTTTTGTTTTGTTTTTCTTTTTTTCTCAAATATTCAAACATCAGTTATTGTCAATATATTTGGGTGAAGAAAAAAAAGCTTGAAAACCACGAAAATATTGAAATTGTTTTGTCGTCGTCAAATTTATATTGCCGACGATACCGTAATGGCAATCGGCATCGTAACTGTCGTTGAAAATGGCGGCTCCCGTCCCCTCCCGTTTTTCACCGAATCCCCGTCTCCAGTCGCCGCCGGTTTCTTCCATCTTATCAGAATAAAAAATGTTGCTGTACTAAAGTGGTAGATTCTAAGATAAAAAACCAAAACTAAAATTGCTGATTTTGCTATACGCAACTGCTGACAAAAATCTATAATGTTTCTGCTGATCTGTGATATCCGACAGCGTTTTGGCTAAAACAATTATTTAAGTGAAAAAGTTTTTGATAGCAAAAACTTTTTTTTTTTTTTTTTTTTTGTATTTGTAATGCAGATAGCAGACAGTAATTTGTTTAATAAAATGCAAATATAGAAAAAAAAAACTATGCAAGAAAATCAGTGGTTTTTTAAATCAAAACAAAAAAAAGTGAAGCAAAGTCTTGAGGAACTAAACGCAAACATCGTTTTGCAGTTTGAAAACTTTAACAAAAAAAAAATTGCAAAACAAAATTTTTTCTATCGTTTTTTTTTTCTTTGACTAAAAAAAAAGCTGAAAAAAAAAAAAGAAACCTTAAATGAAGAAAATTATTTAAGTTTATTATAGCGAAAAAAACGAGAAAAATAGAAACAAAAAAAAACTTTTAAAATTACAGATTAAAATAAGTTAGTAAATGCCAGAAAAATAAAAAAAAGAGCGATTAAGATTTTTGAACAAAGAACAAATTCTTTTTCTTCTTCTTTTTCAAAAAAAAAAAAAAAAAA